GAAGTGCAGCAACCACCAAGAGGAGAAACAACAGTTTTCACAGTGTAGGAGCTCATATTTACCAAAATCACACAAGACACATGAGGACAGGAGCTGCAAAAGTATCTGTGCAGTTCTTCTGAGTGCCAGATGAGGGAGACAAAAAGCTGCAGGTTTAACATGATGTCAGCCTTCAGGATTATCTTGATTATTTTCCACAGCTGAAGAAAGCAAACTGCAAATATCTCCTGCAAGGTTTCCCCCAGAGAATGCAAATGCATTTAAGCTTTTGTGACATCATTTTATACATATTTACCGCACAGTTTTACTGTCTTTAAAATATCTTTACATAGTTTGACATTTCTATTTGTTTTATTCACAAGTTAAATATGAAAGTGAGAATGTGATGTGAAAAAAAACTGCAGCTAAAAGTGATTTTATAAATGCATGAGGGTTATATTTTAAGTTTTTCTAACAAATAATAGATCTTTTTACATGTTTCTTTTCCTTCTTAAATTATTTTTGCATCCAAACTGTGATAAAAATCAATAAAAAAAAGTTACTCTAGACTCATTTATGTTGATTGTGCCTGATTGCTTCCTGCTGCACCCTCATTAGGCCACATCGCCCTCAGCTGGGCGTCGCTTTTAAATACGCTTCGGTTCGACTCAGCATATTTCGGTGGTGTGAGGAGGAGGAGACGCCATCAGTTTCCTCCTGCCTGGTGTTCTGTCAGAAAGCAAAATCTTTACTTTGAGTCTCGTGTTTGTCGAAGCTCTTGGCTGAACTCTTCCCCCTTTCCCTCAGGAATGCACTTTGAGGATGTCTCAGCTGACCTCAAACGTCGCTTATCCTTCGCCCGTCGTCAGCATCTCGGCACATCCACTCCTCCTCTGTGCCAAACCGTCAGAACGTCTCTGAGCATAAATTAGAAATCTTGATTTGTGAGCCGGCATGCTCTTTAAAATATCCTCATAGTGCAAAAAAAGAAGCCTGCAGGGATTAGAAACGAGGTTCAGGTGTGACTTTTGAGCCGTCCCTTTGTAATTCCACCAACATGTGATGTATGAAAGGCTTCTACAAGTTGTCTCTGCACAGATTAAATGAACACAAAACAGCATTTTGCCACCATTAGTGCTAATAACAAAGAAAACACCACCAGAGAGGACAAAAGACTAATAAGAGGCAAACTGAGGGTGAACAAAGGGGCTGAATGGCAGATAATGTGCACAAGCGACACAATTTTTTTTGGACTTCCACGAGCTGAGAAACAGGAAATTAGCAGCAAAAGTCTTGTAATTGAGTTGAATGAGCTCAACCAATCAGAATCTAGTGTGACGCCATTTTCACGAGGCACTAAACTCTTTGGTTCTTCTACAAAATCTGCTCAACATTTGCTGCTACATGTCGTTTTTAAGGGAAACAAATTGCACAAGTTGGAGCTATAACACGCCAAACACAGTCGAATACATGAGGAGCACACCATCAATGTGACTTAAATTTCAAAATTTGCAGCACTTCAGATGATCTTGGCTGTCCTCCGCTGCCCTTCTGTCCATCTCAACATCCACCGTGGTGCTTTTTGTTTCTGCTGGCTCCCTCAGCTGGCTGACCTGCTCTTCGTCCTCGTTGATCGAACAGGAAAGAAGACACGAAATCCCAGAAGCGTCCACAGCTGAGCATCTGGAAGTTGATTCAGCGGACAGTGTGCTCAACGTCTGAGCTTCAGGAGATATTTAAGTCGTTTTGACTTGAAGTTCTGTTAAACTATCAGCCAAAAACTGAATAAATTGTAGATGAAAGAATGTGTTTGTGCTGATATTGATTTCACTTTTCCCCAAAAAGCTGCTAATCATCAAGTCCATGCACTCCGATCATGAAAGCAGATGAACTATTAAGCAAACAACACATTTTTTTCCGAAACAAAACCTGACAGAACAATGTTTTGCACACTTTTAAGAACACAAACAGTAGATATAAAGTTAACAATTAGACAAATTATTCATAATTTCCAACACTGAGACAAAACTACCATGAACTTGAGCTGCATTGTTCTTATAGACCTGCTATGTCCACAGACTGGAGCACAAAACACATGAAAGGATTTTATTCACACTAAGACATGAGAAGTTTCTGTTGTTGGATGTTTTGTTGGTTTTTTAGAGATATTTTTGTGCCGTCTTGGTCATGTCTCTACTTTAGATTCTTCTCCGATCATTGACTAAACCCCTAAGACCCATCTCTGTATATCAAAGTGACACATTTATCACTTTTATCCCCATTTAAATGACTTAAATGTAACTCCACACACGAGAATGATATGGATCTACATAGCATTACCTCTTATCCCTTCTACCGAGCCTCATCTATGACGAAAAACTCCTGATGAAACTGATTCTAAAGAAGAATAAGAGCAGCAGAAAGTCCCACCTACAAGTTGACAGAATTGGTTTTTAGAATCTGAATCTGTCAACTTCTAGCGTATTGAAAACATCACATGGACATAACAAGTTAAAAACAACTTGATTGTCACTAGAGGGTGCCTTACTAATAAATTAAAGCATAAATACAGTGAAAGCAGCAGAGGATTCCTAATTCTTGTGGATTTTCCAGTTTATTTTAGACATTTAATGTGGACATTAGGCATCAGAGTAAATGTTAAAGCTGCTGATCAGGCAGAAATCTGGAAAAGACGAGAAAAATGTGATCAAATAGATCCTTCCTTCTGCTGATGTCCCCTTTCAGTCCTAAGCCTCACCCACCAGAGCAGCATGGGGCACATGCACCGCTTAAAATCTGAGCTACCACATGCTAAATATGCTGTGCGCATGATCAGGATCGTTATCAGGCTTCTGCAGAGCTTGATGATGAGCTGATCATTTGAATCAGGTGTGTTGGAAGAGGGAAACATCTAAAACATGCTGGATAGGGGCTCTCGAGGACCAGGATTGGGCACCTCTGGTCTAGAGGAAGAAGTTGATGTTAGTAGATGGAGTACCCAATGGTACAGTTAAGGTAGTTTGCATTGAATGTCCTCCTTCAGACACCTCAAGACTGAACAGTAGAACTCCAACAGTCTGATCCCGGCTGATGAATTGACACTGTCGTTTAAATAACCAAAGAGCATCCTCATGAGCTGTTCTTTGGTTTCTTAGAGACAGCAGGCTCTTCTGCTGCAAGAACTGCCTCTTGGTATCTGTAAATCCAGCTCTTGTCAGCACTGATGATCTCTAACATTTTGGGCCTGTTTGAAAAGAACAAGCAACAACTTTTGCTCGGGAGTCTGGATTTTGAAGACGAATTTTACAGCGATTTGTTTAAACTGGACTGCTTTAACTGTTGATGATAAAAGGACCATTTCACCCAAATCATTGCTTATTATCTCCATCGCCTTCCTGAAGAATTTGAAGTTTTTTTGGCCCACAATCTGATAAATCTGACACAGGCTTTGAGCTTTTAACACAACCTTCTGCTCATCAGCTGGTTCTTTCTCTATATGTTGCTGCTTGAAGGATCTCAGTACTTGCATACAGGTCGTTGTCAACATCATATGCGTCCACCAGGAGTAAAGATTTGGGTGGTTGGCATCAGCAGAAGTCACATAACTAATAATCCAATCAGACAAGGGGAAAAAAAACCCTTCTGCGTATGATTGACAGGTGGCCGCTCACCAAAGATGAAGGTAAAAAAAATCACAAAAATACTTCCATCAGGGAGA